CAAATATGTCAGAATGTGCTGAAACTTTTACAAACAACTATAACTTGCATATTGGTTTCATAGTAGTTACTGGATAATGCAGAACAGTTACTAAATAATAACACTGTAACTGGGTCAAAAGCCCAAGGGTTGAAAGAGCTAAATTAAATCTAGTATACTTCTCAGTAAGTGAGCTCTTTGAGAACACGTTTCTCCTCTGCTCGCTAATTCTGCAACATGCCTTTGTGCCCTGAGGTAAAACCTTACTTCATACATGTATCTCCAGTTTCATAATAAAGCTACAGATGGAAAATATGATTCTGAATGTAAATTCGAAGGATTTTTTTTAATGCAATATAAGAGAGCACAGAAGCATTACGATTCTGAGCAATGGGAGATATCAGGAACAGTACATTATCTTAATGAACATAAATGCCACACAATGCAGAGCAACCCCACAGCTAACAAAGAGCTAAATGATCAGTACTGTCTACCCCCAGGGCCAACGACTCAAAATAGATGATCTTCCCACAGTCTCCCTGCTTTATGGAAGTTAAATAAATAAAATTTGCAGCATTATACTAGTTCTGAGGCCACGGACAGAATGAGTGGAATGGGTTTGTTGGCAGTGGCCTTCTATAGGTCTGTGTTCCTTGAGTTTAGTGATAACATTAATAAATGAAATGATAGGCTTATTTGTCAAACAGATGCTTCCTTTTATCCCTCCGTTTTGTGGATTTGATGGATTCTCTGACCATCATTAAATGTGCAATGAAATAGAAATACCAAAAGCGCTTTATGGAGTAAAGCCCTGAAAAGACTGTTTCACTCACAAAGCCCACTGTACTGCCTGCTCATTCAGATTATTATGAATATTCTTGTAAAAAGAAAGGTTTGAATAAAACAGACTTCTCAAATATTTAGATAAAGTAAACTCCAATTGCTGTCCTCAATCACACCACCAAAGTGCAGAAGTATGTGAAGCCTGCCAAAGCATGTTTCCAGTTCCATCAAACAGCTTTGAGGAGAACTCAAAGCCTACATCGGGAAGAAAAGGACCCCTGCTAGCCATCCCACTCAGTGAGAGCGTAGCCAAATGTACTCTAAAAGAATACATGGACAGGGGACAGAAAAATTCAGACTCAAACTCAGCTCCAACTCTCTGCAGTAGAATTCAAACATACGCTGTAGAAGCACCAATTTACTCGGACAAGCTAAATAATCAGGTGAGTGATGAGGCAGATTATGCAAAGTGTGTCAAGGGCAGGGTAGTATGCCTAATAAATAAAAAAGACTGTGATATCGAAAGAATACTACTTTAACATTATGAAAACCAAGATGCCTCAAATTTCTCTACATATATGGCCGATGTGCCAAAAAGCAAGGGTGGCCAGCCTTCATACTAAACAAGGCACGCAAATTAGGGCAGCTTCTAGATTTGTGTACTATTTTGTCTGTACAACTCACCCCTGACAATTTGCCATATAACCTCTGGCATTTGTGAAACATTTCAAAGCCCTAAAATATTCTTTCCATAAAATTCCTCAGATTGAAACCTGCTTAGTGACTGAGCAACATGTGACTGTAACTGTCAACTACTGGAATCATTGGATTATAATCAAGCAGAGTTAGTAAGGGTGTAAAAAGAAGGCCCATCCCTAAAGCAAACACTCATTAAATGACTATAAGAGAATGGCCAATGGGTAATATGGCATGTATGTTCAAGCAGCTTTTAAATAAAACACTATTCAACCCAGAAAGTCAGAGCGCCAAGATCCGTAATCAATAATTAACTTAGTGCACGACACATCTCCTATACTGTTCATCATTAACTTCAGAATATGTGAAAGTGTTGATGTGTGGAGCAGGAATGTAGGGAACATGAGTGTATTAAATAGCCCTTCTCGGTTAAAGGTTTTAACCCTTAGAAGTCAGTTTTGCTGGCAATAACAAAAGTCTAGTGTTATTTTAAATGATTTTTCTTATGTAGCTTATTGAAACAAGAAATTCTGTGAAAAGGTACCGATACTACACTCAATCCCACATATGTGTTGCCCATTATGATTGAATTCGCTGAAATGTTATTGGTGTACTGCAGGAAGTACATATTTGAACCTGTCAATTACATTTAATTAGAAAAGTAAAACAACAGTGATAGTTCTAGATTCCAATATATATTCCAATTATATTGCCCAATTACAATATAATTTTATATTTATATGTTATACTTTCATATTTTATGTTTAATTCACAGATATCATTGACAGTCTCCAGTTCTTACACTTCTTAAACCAAAATAAAAAGCAGAAACTCAGTCTTAAAAACTATAAATACTGTAGCACGAGGAGTGGAGCTACCCAGAATTCTTTGTGTTTTTGGTTTCTGTTTATCTCCCCCTTTATTATTTAATTTTCAATAGCTCTCTTTCTATAATAAGGTTGTTTTCTTGCCACATTATTCTCATGATAAAATTTAGGTTTGGATACATTTTACATGTTTTTGTTATTGTAACTGTGATGTTTCTTTTTGTGTTAAAATCCAACAATACAGCCTGTTTTGCTGTGATATACAATGCATTCGGAAGGTCTTCAGACCCTTTCACTTTTTTTCACATTTGGTTGTGTTGAGGCCTTGTGCTAAAATCAAAGAAAATTCAAGTTTCCCCTCTCAATCTGCACTCAATAACCTATAATGAGAAAGTGAAAACAGAATTTTAGACATTTATGCAAATTTACTAAAACGGAAAAACTAAAATTTCGCATGGACATAATTATTCACACCCTTTGCTATGACACTTGACCATCTTTGTTTCTACTGTTTTTCTACTGTTTCTACACCTCGATTGGAGTCCACCTGTGGTAAATACAGTTGACTGGACCTGATTTGGGAAGACACACACCTGTCTATAAAAGGTGTCACAGCTGACAAGGCATATCAGAGCAAAAACCATACCATGAGGAGGAAAGAATTGTCTGTAGAGCTCAGGGGCAGGACTGTGCAGAGGCACAGATCTGGAGAAGGCTACAAAAAAATTCTGCTGCACTGAAAGTTCCTAAGACCACAGTGGCCTCCATAATTTTTAAATGGAAGAAGTTTGGAACAACCAGGACTTCCTAGAGCTGGCTGCCCCACCAAACTAAGTAATCGGGGGGAGAAGGGCCTTGATAAGAGAGGTGACCAAGAACCCAATGGTCACTCTGGCAGAGCTCCAAAGGTTCTGTGTGCAGTTGGGAGAAACTTCCAGAAGATCAGCCATCACTGCAGTACTCTACCAATCTGGGCTTTATGGCAGAGTGGCCACACAGAAGCCTCTCCTCAGTAAAAGACACATGAAAGCCCGCCTAGAAATTGCATAAAAACACCTAAAGGACGCTCAGACTGTTATAAACAAGATTCTCTGATCTGTTGAAACTAAGATTTAACCTTTTGGCCGCAATTCTAAGTGTCATGTCTGAAAGGAACCAGGCACTGCACATCATATGCCCGATACCATCACTAAAGTGAAGCATGGTGGTGGCAGCATCATGCTGTGGGGTTGTTTTTCAGCAGCTGGGACAGGGAGACTGGTCAGGGATGAAGGAAAGCTGAATGGGGCAAAGTCCAGAGATATTCTTAATAAAAACCTGATCCAGAGTGCTTGGGATCTCAGACTGGGCCGAAGGTTCACCTTTCAACAAGACAATGACCCTAAGCACACAGCCAAGACAACACAGGAGTGGCATATGGACAACTCTGTGAATGTTCTTGAGTAGCCCAGCCAGAGCCCTGACTTGAACCTAATCAAACATCTCTGGAGGGACCTGAAAATCCAACCTGACAGAGCTTGAGAGGATCTGCAGAGAAGAATGGCAGAAAATCCCCAAATCCAGGTGTGCAAATCTTGTGGCATCATGCCCAAGAAGAGTGGAGGCTGTAATTGCTGCCAAAGGTGCTTGAACTAAGTACTGAGTAAAGGGTCTGAATACTTATGTCAATGCAATATTAGTCCTGCAAAGCCATCATCTAAAATACATGACTCAAAATTTCATTAACATTGTGAAAGCTATTGCTTTAGGAAATGTAAATACTGAAAAATATTGTTTCTTTGTTACAAGATATCTGAGAGAAAAGTTGCAGATACACCGGAAATTCCAATATCAAGTGTGAACAATATCCTTAAATTATAGAAAGAAAATGTTTTCAAAACATGCTGTGCTCTGGCCATCCAAAAGAGAACTGGATGAACATCAGTACTTAAGATTTCAATTAGGTATTGGGTTATTTTGAGTTTCAGTTCTTTAGGTCTTTATTTTTGGTTGTAGCTACTTTTCCAATTGATACAAATAAATGAATGATACATTTAGCATGGAAAATAATAAATAAACAAGGTGCTGTACTCTGCACTCCAGGGCACTGGAATGAACCAGGCTCAAGTGCAGTAGATCTCCCAGTCTTAACTTTCTTACAGTAGTTCTACCAGACCGTTGAGGCAGATGGGTAAATCACAAAGCTTTACATAACGTGTCTTTGCCTCCAAAGCCTATGGCAGCTGATTATATTACAGGCAGGATCACATATGTTCTCTTTATCCCTCCCTAATTACTAAATCTTCAACAGTTACTGGGGTGTAAAAATACATCGGTGCATATTAATGCGTCAATCTGAAGGTGAAGATTCAACTGCTTTGACTTTTTTTTTGGAATATTAGACCATAATCAATATATGACAATATTGAATATAGTGTGCATTTATTTTTTTTGGCCAAAATAAAAGTCTTCTTCTTTCAAATATAAAAATTCACAAAGTGTGTTGTTTTTATCGGCTATATTCTACTGCAGTGTAAATAGTTACTCCAGTTACATTTGTGTATTCAGTGCATTTATAAAAATAATTCTGATTTTTGTATTAAAGCAATCAAATTATGTTCAAATTTGATATTTCATTACTCACTTTCCTAAATAACCATAATTGAATCTAATAGTAAGATCAGAGATTTACAGTGACGGTGAATAATTAGCCTTCATTTGCCCTCAGATCTGTACCTGCTTGGCGGAATCTGTGGATCAGACTCTCTCTCTTGTCTCTTTGCAGGTTGAAGTAGTTGTCCTCCTCGTTGGGCGTGTGCAGATAGAGGGGGATGTGCTGGAGGATGAGGACATGGTGTGCTGAACTCTGGGCTGCACTCTGTAGCTGCTGCTCCAGCCAGGCTTCATGAGCCTGTTCCAGATGAGGGCAGCAGGACGCATCGAAGAAAAACTGAGAATTCAGCACTAGGAACAGTACCCCACCCACCCAGTAACTGAAGTAATCATCACCCCAACAATGGCAGTACTGCTCCACTGTCTCTGGCGTAGGTGTGTTACTCAGGTCGTGGTTGCCACTGACAAAAATGAGGGGTATGTTGGGATCAGTTTCTCGAAGAACCTCCTTCAGGTCCCTCTCCTGCTCTTCTCTGAAAGGGGAACCTGTAGAAGATTAACAGGATTTTTTTTGACATTTGAGGTAACCTTTAAAAATCCATAGATATTACTTTCATTTTACTGTACTATATAAATCTAATTATGTAAATAAATATTTATAAATAAATATTTAATTACATAGAAAGTTATGTATTGATTAATTAGCAAGATATCCCCCCAACCCCTGCAAACACACACAATCCGCTGCAGCTTAGACCAACTTTCTATGTTGCCTTTAGCTTAGACACATTTAACATCAGTAGATTTAATGAAAATCCCACATTACATAATTTTGAGCAACTCTTAATATAGTACTGAGTAACATGTTTTGGTAATTGAAAATGACAGCGAACTGCTGGTGTGGATTCATGTTTACTTTTTTTTGTTTAATGATGCATATAAAAGTGACTTGTGTGCTAAAAGCTCATAATTGTGAAGAGATTTTAGACTGTGATTTAGCTCTAAAGCCATTTGTAGCGCTTTACAAACAACAAACAAGTATTTTCTATTATTTTTGGACTGAACTGAATTTTCTAGAATTCGGTTATAGATGCCTATGGGAAACCATGACATATAATATTTTCATAATCTTTCTAGTTCATCCAAACCAACCATGACACTTCACAGAAAATACTGCCAATTGCCCTAAGATGGCACGTTGCAGTCTTAAAAACTCCCAGAAGAAAATTTTTCTTCTCCTATACCTTAACGTCTTAATAATGACCTGTGAAAACTGTTTTTTTAAAAAACTTTTTTATTTCTCATCGATTTTCTCCTCAATTTAGTCGTCTCCAATTCCACCCACTAGTTAGGACTCCCCCAATCACACTATAGTACCAACGCTACGAGGGCAAAGGCTAGCACAGACTTCCTCAGAGACCTGTGAAGCCAGCAACCGCATCTTTTCGAACTGCAACGTCATTGGACAGCTGAATGCGCTCAGAGGAAAGCGCCAACCGTCAGATCTGTTACGTGCTGACTAGCATTGCGTTGAGTGATGCAGGGAGAAGGGGAAGCCATCCTACCCACCCACAGAGAGCGAGGCCAATTGTGCTCTTTTGGACTCCGGCCACGGATAACTGTAGCATCATCAGGGATCGAACTCGTGATCTCCTGATGATAGGGCCAATGCCTAGACGGTTGTGCCACTCTGGAGCCAAAATCCAATGTTCTAACAGTAGAAATGAACTAAACTACATGTACATATTTAATAACATTTTGCAAGCTGGACAAAGTAAAATTAGACTTCTCTAATCAGATTACTTGTCAATCACTGCCAAACTCCAATCACACTAACCTACTGCTCAGGCCTTGCTGAAAAAATATAAAAGAGTTACTCTGTTTGCTTTAAAAAGTTAAGAGGGAGAAATTCAGACAGGCCCACAAGTATTTGGACATTGACACAATTTTTGTAATTGTGCCTCCGTACACAACAAAGAATTTGAAATGAAGCAAGAAGTCAATATGTGATTCAAATTTAGACTTTAAGCTTTAATTCAAGCGTTGTAACAAAAATCCTGCAATCATTTAAGAATTACAGCCATTTTTTACATAGTCCCCCCATTTTCACAGGTTTAAAAGTAATTGGACAAACTAACATAAATACAACTTTATTGCAGCCACTTTGCTATTTGTTTGTGGGTCTTTCTGCCTTCAGTTTTGTTTCCAGTAAGTGAAAAACATGCTCAGTTGGGTTCAGGTCAGGTGACTGACTCAGCCATTTAACAACATTTCTTTGCCTTAAGAAGCTGTTGGGTTGCATTTGTGGTATGTGTGGCATTATCCATCTCTACTGTTTGTTTTGCAGCTCGTGACTGAGTCTGAGCAGAAAGTACAGTTCTATACACTTCAGAATTCAGTCACATCATCAATAACCCCCAGTGACCCAGTTCCATAGGCAGCCATACATGCCTATGCCATAACACTGCCTCCACTATGTTTGACAGATGATGTGGTATGCTTTGGATCATGAGCCCTGCCTTCTGCGTACTCTTCTCTTTCCATCATTTTGGTACTGGTTAATCTTAATTTTATCTATCCAAAGAATCTTGTTCCAGAACTGGACTAGCTTTTTTAGGGCATTTTCACACTACAGTTTTTTCCTGGACCAAGGACTGCTGGCTGCTTCCAAGGAAAATAATAAAAAACAGCAAACCGATGAAGCTAGTGCCTACCATTTTGCAAACGTGCATACGGAAAAGTGACGACAGAATTGATCAATCAATCCATGGTTTGGATGGAATTCTTGTGTATAAAAGCAAACAAGTGACAATGAGCCCCTCCCCAAAACAAGCCCGGAATCAGTCCTGGGTGAGGACTCAAGTATTCAGGACAAGTGTGAAAATTCCCTTAGATGTTTGTCTGTTTTTTAAGGGTTACCAGTGGTTTGCATCTTGACGTAAACCCTCTGTATTTACATTCACGAAGGCGTCTCTTGATGGTAGACATCGACAATGATACACCAACCTCCTCTACAATGTCCTTGACTTGACTAGATGCTGTGGGGTTTTTACTTCACCATGGAAAGAATTCTGTGATCATCCATTTTAGTTGTCTTCAGTGGTCTTTCAGGCCTTTTGGTGTTGCTGAATTCGCCAGTGCATTTTTTCTTTTTAGGAATGTACCAAATTGTTGATTTGTCCACTTCTAGAATTTCTGCTATTTCTCTTATAGGTTGGTATAGTTTTTTCAGCTTAATGACGGCCCTCCTTGACTTGCATCAACCCCTTTTTGGACTGCATAACTTAAAATTCCTATGGACAGCTACCAGATGCATATTCAACACTTGGAATAAACTCCAGACCTTTTATCTCCTTAATTTGTCATGAAATAACAAAGAAACAGGCCACATCTGGTCATGAAACTGCTTATCACTCAAATGTACAATTACTTTTGAGCCTCCAAAAATGGAGGGACTGTATAAAGAATGGCTGTAATTCCTAAGCAGTTAATGCAATAATTTTGTTAAACCCCTGAAAGTCTACACTTCAATCACATCATGACTGCTTAATTTGAAATTCACTGTGGTGGTGTGCAGAGGCAAAATTACAAAAATTGTATTACTGTTCAAATACTAATAGACATGAACATAATCACTATAAAATTTCAACATGCTTTTATCGCCAGTAATAAGTATGATGTTAAGGTATAAGCAATTTATAATGTCACTGTCACAAGAAAATGTCATATCTCCACTGCTTTCTTTTTTGCCATCACTGAATTAACATTTTACAAAGAATGGACCAGTAAAACATTTAAAGTTGCCACAGAATGCATTTATTCAGCATTTTAAATTGATCTCTGATGCCTACATAGATGGTATGTGACTTTTGGAGTATGCTAGTAGCTAACGTTACTTGTACTAGCTACTTGCTTTCAATCTCGGCAACAACACAAATTGAAGTTGTTAGCTCACTATGAAACTTTCCATTTAAGATGATCTGGCTTCAGATGAAACTGTCCAGAGTGAAATGTGCAGAACAAACTAAAAATTTTGAACTAAAGTTGTCCGGGATGCGGTTAAAGATGTGGGAGGTCAAGCTGGCTTTCTATTTTCCAGCTTAATTTGAGAATTTTCAGCTCCACTTTAAATGGTACCACAGTTACATACTTTCACCCGTACCAGCTGTAGCATTTAAGGTGGAACTGAACATTTGACTGAGAAGCTGGCGAATAGGAATGCAACTGCAGCCTCGTTTAAAGATGAATATCAGCCACGCCTGTTGACAATTCAGTTCAGTTGGTTTGTAAATATTGGGGGCATAAATATTAATGACTCAAGACTGTTACGTAACGGTTTAGGACGGTTTTGGAATTGGCCTGTTTTACCGCCCTCTTTTGCAAATGTGGGATTTTCATTTGAAGGATGAGATAACAGTGTTTGAATTTCACAGTATGTCAGTTCCATGTGCAGAACTTTCCTTATTCAACTATGCCAATGTAAATACAGTTTCCATTCTGTGGCACCTTTAAAAAGCAATCCTTTCAACTATTTTAACAAATATTAAAGAGGTCTCTGAAGAGAAAAACATAAAATATCTGTTTGCGTTGAGTGAAGCAGTCCCCTTCTCCTTCACAGAGGAGCATTTGTAATTTCAGCAACACTTTCTAACATGTCATTGTGGCTATCTATTCTTGTTATAGATGAAATCAAAGTCTACTGCAGACAAAAGAAAGCCTGCAAAAACATGTTGTCAGGCATTTCACAAACAACGACTCATATTGCTCTATATTTACCTCAAGGTCATTCCAGCCATCAAAAGTAAACAGAAACTAAAAATGTGCCATGGATTCAAAGAAAAAATTATTTTTACCCATAGGCCAAGAGAGATGTGTAAACAGTGTCCAACCGCATTTCTCTAGAGTAAAGGCATACTGTGAAACGCCGTGTTTTGAAGCTCAGTAATAACAGCCTTTGTTAGCTTTTAATGTGACAAGTGGGACGTCTTATTAATTGTGCGAGGAAGATTTAAAGCTTGATGAGGAGAGAGGAGGAAATTAGGGTTGCCGTCGCTGGCTAGCAGAGCTATTGTGGAGGGTGAGCCCTAACAGGCTAGAATTCACTAACTAATAGGTTGCAAGACAACAGTTTGGCCATTAGGAAACACTCTACCACACAACTAGCCCTTTCAGTGCTCCTAATCTACAATTTGTGAAACACTATAGGTGAGGCTAGTATATGAAGCAGTTATTTTTCCATTACAGATATCAAGAATAGGTTTTGTCTAAATTACCTGTTTTTTTCCCCCTCAAACTGCTGTTTAAAACACACATAAAGAACATTGTCAGAAGGTTGTCATTTTGTTTTGTACTGTTTAAGTATAATAGTAATACAGTATATAGTAGGGGTGCGTGAAAAAAAATCGATTCTTAGATGCATCGCAATGCGGACGTGAACGATTCTGAATCGATTAACAAAAGTCAAAAATCGATTTTCTAAATATTTAATTTATAACGTAACGTTGACGGAAAAGGCGGAACTTGGAAGTGGGTAAGTGCAGAGCCCG